ATGATAAATTTTTTTCCTCTTTTGTCGAAAAATCAGGTAGACCTTATATACTGAATTTTATTTTCGAAAAAATCACAAAGACCAATATGCCCTTAGATCATTTCGGTATTCTAATTCATTTTAATTCTTTTTTTTTAAATTCTGTATCGGGTCAAACAATTAATTCTTGTCGATCTTTGAAAATAACTTGCAGTCGATCTCTCTTGTAATAATTTTATTTCATAAATTTATAAACGGAATTTTACATCAGAATTAATTGATTATATTGTTAAATGAAAAAAATGAAAATAAGAAAGTGAAAGTAAAAAACATTATTGATTTTGGAATTCCTGATACCCTTTTTCCTGAAAATCAACAACATTAACATAGAATCAAACCTCATATGCGCTCGTCCGAAATGTGTGACATGTTACATGACAAATATGGGCGTGACAAATATGCCAACACCTAACCAAAAAAAACTAAGTCCCCTGAAAGCATAATAAAAATCGAAACGTGATATCTCGTGACTAGGTGACAGATAAACATCCTCCTTCATAATAAAGAAATAATCGGTGTAACTTGTCACGCATATGCAGATTATTGCTATGTATTATTGGAATAAAAATTGCAACAAAAACAAAATAGCGTAGATGCGCTGAATTTTGAATTTAAGGTTAAATTTCTAATGGACGAATTAAACGCAACGTACTTAAAAATAAAATAAAAAAAGGTGGTCAGACCAGATGATCAAAGAAATCTGACATCCAAAACAATTGTCATAGTATTATTCTGCTAAGACTAGCACTCCTGTCCGTACGCAGCTTTAGAAAAAAAAAAAAAATAATACTAATAATAAGTAACGAAATAAAGAAAAAAAAAATAAATATATACCGACTTTGCCCACTTTTTCGACTTCTCGCTAGTAGAGGTTGGACCGGCCAAAAATTCTTTAACCGGGTTAAAATTTTCGTTAACCGGGCAACTATGCTCATTACAATGAATAAGAATGTTAGTTTTTTCGTCTTTTATAAGATTTAAACATGTTATGTAAATTCCTGTAAAAAATCATAATTCAAATAAATATTCCATAAAATATATTAATAATCCAAAAATTCATGACTTGGAATTTGCGCAAATTATTTCTCGACACGTTTGCGATCGTCAGACATTATTTGTAAGACCATGCCATGGAGGTAGCTTTTTACCTGATTTATGAGAAAGCTCCTTTCTGGAGAAAATTACAATTTAATTATTCACGTTGGAGAAGGCAAGAATTTTTCGCGTACTCATTGAATTTAGTGGCAAAGGTCAAAATACTTTAATGGGCAACAATAAATGCAAGGGGTTACCAAATATTATTCCGGAAGTCTTTGAATTAATTATAAATTTTTTTTTAATTTGTAATAAGACTTCCGATTCGAACTCACTTATGCCTATATTCAAATTATTCCACTCCATTGAAATAGAATCTACAAGAGATTAAAACGATTCATTTTTTTTTTTTTTTTTTTTTTTTTTTTGAAAATAACGAAATCTAATTTTTGTTGGACATCAATCATAATGAGCAAATCTACTTCTGGCCGACGATTTTTCAGGAAATTCTTGTGTCCTTTTCTTTCTCTTCAGATCGGATCATTTGTGTAGGTATCCGGTGATTCAGATTTATTTTTTATTATTATTTATTTTTGGTTTCGTGCTCGCACGGTCACTTCGGCTCGCAGCGATAAAATATATATTTCTATGCAACTTTTTATTTTAGAAATTGCACTTTCTTTTCTTTGGGTCGGAACACTTTTGCAATTATTAGGTTATATTTTTTTTAATTATGGGTTGGATTTTTTGTTGCCTTTAAAAACTTTGATTTTTCCACTATTTGATAGCTTTCCTTTTTACATTTGATTATTAATTATTTTATTTTTTTTTAAGTTGTTTTTCGGAGGATTAGTTTGATCTGCTGCAGTGAGGCTTTTATTTTTTTCGTAAATAGAGCCACAGCAAAGGATTTCGATCTCAAGGTCGTTGAATGAACTTTATTACGATAATTCGGCACGTGGTAATGATTATGTAAGATATTTTTCACGACGCATAATTTCGAAAATCAGGTGATGGAAACCCACAGAAGTATTACTGCGTCGATAGGAAAGAGATTTCTGGTGAATGTCAAGAATAGCAATATGTCTGAAAAGCGTGCTTGGAACATCTAGCGGAAAATTCGATTAGCAATGAGATATTATTCGAGAACCAGATATACACGTGATCTTTAAATCGGCAAGCATGATCGCATCACGAAGATCTGGATCAATGGCCCCTTCACATGTGAACCGATATTTGCGGGAAAGTATAAGGAAATATTTGTGTAATGGACCGTGATGTGGATAATTTAACAGTTGTGCCAGCTCACGCAGCAGGGAATGTACATTTCCGGTTCATATTTGTCTTGCCATATATCCGTGATGATCGAAGTGGAATTTTCAGAAAGACAAGTTTGATTAGCATTTATGTATGAAACCAGTCAACGAATAATAAAACACTTACCTCATTAATTATCCTATATCCAAAATCGAAATTAACGTTCATAAGAATCATCACGTAAGCGTTAATTGATATTCCATATAAAAATAGAATAATTAGTCCAAGTTGCTGAAATTATTAATCATGATAAATCCTTTATACTTATCTTTTGGCTAGAAATAACAACTTATCATCCGAATTTCAACCTAACGGATGTCACAACCCTAATAATGCTGGAAATTTCAAGAAAGAAATATAATACGGCTATTATACACCACTTTTAAATCGTGATTCTTCATATTCCATCACCGGCGTGACTAAGTTTTTTTCCCACGGGAAGTGTTCAAAAAAAATGATAGTGGATAATTGAGCAAATATCAAACATGTAATGTAATGTGATAATGTGGAACTAAATTAAATTAATTTAATTCTTATCCCTTAGCTTCGCTTCATGTACGGACTTGCTACGTAAGTTTGGCTGACCTCTACAAAACCACTTTATAAATGAAACTTTGAAGGCATGGCGATTCTGTGCCAAGTCCGGCTATGAAAAAGAATTAGAAATGATTCCGCCACACAATGACCATCGAATTAAATTTCATCACGCGAATCACGTAGGAAAATCTGACGTAATCGATTCGAATTATGGATCATGTAAAGAACATGACCAAAACTTCCGATGAAATCATTCTTGATACAATGTATGCCTTTTGGCTTGAATTTTTTTATTAAATATAATACATGATTAGTGATAGATTTGCTACAGGAATTCTATATTGGTTCCTGCAGAATTCTATACTAACACCTATTCGGTCGGTTTAATAAAATAAAAATGGTCGTCATATATAATTATAAGATATGCAGTAACAACATTGCCTTAGTAAGACGGTAAAATTAAACTGAAAGACTATGTTTCCTGCCTCCTATGAACTAATAAGGACTTCAGAAATCCTGGAACGGAAAATAAATGTTAGTTTGTAAGCCCAGAGATAACATAATACTCTTCCACCGAAAATACCACAATTTATTTGCGTAATCGTACCATCTAATTTCGTCAAGGCTTCTTCATACTGCGGTACGTCGTGAGTAGGAACTTTTACTTCTGAATCAATGTAAGCAAAAGGAAGTGTTACCTTTCCGTAGCTAAATGACTAATCACATGACAATGCAACATTACTGCGTAATAAATTGATTTGCTACAGAAAAATTTCGTCATTATTAGATTCTATCAAATTGTTAGTTACCAGTCACGTGGTTATCGATCATTTATTATCCGAAGCGTAAGTGTAGAACACTTCCGCTTGCTTAGCCAATCTATCATGTGTAACATATTCGAGTTTTCACTTTCGTAATTTGTTTAATCGTGCTACACGCGTATAATTGTTCTGTAAAAAATTTAAGGAAAAAAATCTTTTAAGAATGTTTTATATTTTTATTTTTACAATTATTATGATTTTTTTTTTTAAATATGTTTGTTTTAAATACTTTGAATTTTTCAGCCAAAATATTGTATTTATTGCCGTTTTCAAAACGTTTGATTTCAGAAAATTTTTATGACGGTTACAAAAAAAAACACAAAAACACAAAAAACACAAAACAACGAAACGATGTGGTACAAGAACTATCCAATAAAATTAGTGCAAAAATCACGTGCATACTGTAAGAATTTTTTCACATTTAACGTTTTTTCTTTTTTTCAAAAAATGAAACCCCTTATACAAGGTAATATGCTCCTGGTGTTTGCTTTTTTATGTCAACAATTGGATAAGTGAGAGGAAGTGAAAAACGCGAAAAGTTCTTAGTTCTTATTTTCTGATACAATATATTATTATACGTGAGTCGCATATTTAGTCTATTATATCGATATTACGTTACGTATGTTAGTCTGGAGAGGTTATATTAATGTGAAGTTTTTTAAGGTCACATAAAAGTGCTGAAATCCAGTCATTGAAATTCTTTGACTTATTGTAGGCCAGCCAACAAGGGTGATTCAGGCAGCCATTCATTAATTTAAAGTTAAAGGAGATACTTCAAGTTTAGAAATTTGTCCTTTCAATAATTTAGATCTTTAAATTTGAATAAAAAATATTTAACGATCTTGCATTTATATCTATATGAAAATGTTTATTTCCGGCACACCACACCACACGAATCTAATAGCCTGAACATACAAAACAAATCATCAAATATATTGGTTTGGTTATATTAAACGTTATTTAATAGTTAAAACATGATTTGTCTAATAGAATGTTAGACAAAGAAAAAAAAATGATTATATAAATTCATTCATAGCAACGGCTTTTAATGGATGTAATTGTTTTAATATTTTGTTTACTAATGAAGTTTGTCAAAACTAGATCAAATTTTCAGAAATCATAAGAAAGTTCCTATTATCTAATACAAAACAAAGATAAATATTTTCATAAGTTAAATAAATAAGACGAATTAAAAAATGTTTTATATAGTCTATAAGTTCGAAACAGACAAGTCTGCTTGTATATAAAAACTTAATAAATGATGTCTTTTAATTCAATCAAATTTTCCATTTCCTTCTTTGAAAAATATTTGTCGTTAAATATTTCTGGAATATTTGGGCAAGAATTATAGATTTGAAAGGGATTATCCATCTCAGGAATATCGATTTCATTACCTATATCCCATTTCATTCGAACATAATCTATTTGCTTTAAAATTATAAAAAAATTAATATCGATATCCATAATTTGTTCATAAATTTCAGGATTACATACCATAATTATAGAATTATTCTTTAAATTAATTGAAAGTTGTGACGGATTATATAAGTGAAATGGAAGTGTATATTCAACCCAGCCCAATCCAATAAGTGCAGATAACTGCTCGTATTTTAATAAATGTATTTCTTTTAGCTATAAATAAATAATGGATTTCAATGTGTAAAAATTAATAAATATTTTAAGATTATACATATTTAATATATATATAACTTACATGTTTAAAAATAAACTCCACAGAAAAATCTTTATTCAATATCTTTTTAACATTTAGTTTCAAACAATAATAATAATATTCATGGGAATTATATTTAAGTTCGGGCAAAACAATAGGAATTACTTCATCTTCAAAAGATAACACATGGCCAGATAAACTTAGATTAATGGAAGTATTAGTTGCATTAATAAATATATACATAAAAGCTTACCTATTTGAATCCATTTCTTGAAACCGAATAAATTCACTATTTAAACTTACAAGATTAGAAAGAAAATAGATTCCTTTTCCTACAATTCGAAAAATAAAATGTTAATGTTTATATTTCTAAATATAATAGCTTGTATATTATTCTTACTTTTATACATGACATTATAAAATTTATTAATTATTCCAAGTTTACTCAAATTATCATCTCTAATAATATGATAATCGTATATAAATGACCATAATTTTGTATCTAAATATTCTTGCATTAAATATTTATATAAAATATTTCCGCTATTGAATGTTTTATCATCAAAATATCTTGACAAAAATATTGCCAAGTTATCATTAGAATCGAATAATAATACGCATTTTTCAACTTCAATTTTAGTTTTTTCATTATTTCCTAATGCATAATATATTAGTCCCTTATAAAAATATACAAGACTATTTGAAGAATCTAATTGCATCAATTCATTAAGATCTAATTGAGCGTTTTCATATTCGTGAAGTTCGTAATGAGTGAAAGCTTTTTTAATTAAGATATGGGTAATCTCAGGATCAATATTATATGCTTTTGTAAATTGCGATATTGAATCATAATATCTTCTTAAATAATTAAGAATTTCTCCATAATAACATAGTATTAAAGAATCTTCTGGATTAATTTCCAGTAATTTATCTAACATTTCTAACGCTTCTGAATATCTTTCTTGAATTTCATAAATAAATGCACAATACTTCAAACATAAATAATTTCTCGAATCATTTTGTAATGCAACCTCATAGCTTTCTAAAGCAGCATCATATACTCTTTCCAAAAGATAGCAATTACCTAAAATTATATTCAACTTATTATTTTGGTTTTTTGATTTTTCTAATTCATTTATTGATAAAAAATAGTCGCCTTGCCTGAAAAGTATTTCTCCACGAATAAAATATGCAATAGGTTTGCTTTTTTTTATTATAATAGCCTCATCTAAATATGAGTGTGCTTGCTTATAGTTATTAAGACATCTGCAAGCATAAGCTAAAATACATCTCATTGTATAACTATTAGGAAACTTTCTTAAATATACTTGACCTATTGATATAGCTTTTTCATAATTTTTATTTGCTAATTCATTTATAACATTCTGATAAGACGGACGTAGTTTTTTTGGTTGTAATATATCTAATTTCAATTTAATTTCTTTAAGATTCATTTTTTTAATTATTATTTGATCAACTTCTGAATTACCAGAATCGTCCTCGGAATCATCCTCATGTTGTTTATTTGTTTGATCCTCTAAACAGGGATATAGATGTTTATAAATAGTTTTTTGTGACACGTATTTGACATCATTATTTTCAATACTTTCTCGACATATAGGACACTTTTTTTGTGTTAATTTGTTATACATATTTAATGATATCTTATGTTGACATTTTAAAAGATAAAATTGATCTTCCAGTCCAAGACTAATAGGAAAAGTCATTTCATCTATGATAATATCCATTATCTTACGGGAATTTAATGTATGCTCTTGTCTAAAATATGTATTCTTATCTATATCTATACATTTTCCTTTTCCTTTTCCTATATCATCATTTAACATAATTAAGTCTTGATGACATTTTTCTTTAACGAATGATAATAAACATTGAAATCTTTCCGATGATTCACTATTTGAATTGTTTTCATATAATTTTTGCGCGTATTGTTTGAAATCAATTTCTACCATTGAAAATAATTCCTCGTTTATATTTTGCAAGTGTAACAATATCTCAATTGCTTTAAATTGAATGAAACTACTTAGAGCTTTGTTTAGTGATTCAATTGCCAAATAATAAAAAAGTCCTTGAATAACCGGTTGAGTAGATTTTTGAATGAGATTTTGTGCAAGATCCAGTATGCCAAACCATAACATATTTGGTAACGCTAGTGGTTCGTTTCCGGCAAGATTATTTAAAAAACCCCCAGCGTTTCTTAAAGTCTTGAAGAGTTTATTTGATACTTCATCAAATTTAGTCTGTGAATTTAACATAGTTTTATCAGCAACACTATTCCACTCTCTCTCTGAAAAACTCCAAAGATATTAAGATTCTTTCTCCAAACTTTCTACCAATTATCTTTTCACTTACAGACCAGTTTAAAAGATTATGTTGAATTATCAACATAATTCTCCAATTTATATAATAAGAAGCGACCGGATATTTAAAACTTAATCCTTGACGTAATTGAGTAAGCATTGATAATATTGAACAATTGTCATTTGGAAGAGCAACTCCGGGTGCAACAATACTTGTAAGTCCTGGTGCAATATTTAAAACAGCCTTCAAAAATTCCTTAATTCTTCTTAAAATTTCTTGAAACCAAATTTCATCATCACGCAGGCTATGTAGTGTATCGCGCAAGTGAATCAACAAAAAGTCAATATTATAGTTATGCTTTTCAATACCCTTGTTATCTATGTCATCTTGTTGATTTGATGGATTGTACTTTGACTTAAGGCCGCTAACAAGTCCTTCTTCAATAACTTGTATGTTTTTACGATGGAATTCCGCAAATTTCGTTAAAGAATCGTAAATTTTATCCCGAATTTCTTTACCAATAACTATCTGCGAAAAGCATATCTGTTCCAAAGCTGCTACCAAAGTTCGTAAGTGTAATTCCAATCTTGTAACAATTTCCATTGAATGATGGTCAAATAGTGTAGGATTGGCTAAACTTCTTAATGAATCAACTAAAATTTGAGATGAAAATTTATTTTGTAGATTTTCAAAAAGTAATTTTAGAGCATATAAATATTTTGATTTTGTTAATTTTGTTATAAGTTGTTCTACTTTTTCATCTGGCGTGGTATAACCTTCCTCCTCTAAACTGAGAAGGATATAATTGGATTCCGTTTTAGATGAAATGTTCAAGTTTCGTGGCGCAGATCTTCTAGAACTTCCACTCTATTTATTATTATTTAATAATATAAATATGTAAACAATTTTAAGTATTGGATACTTTTGAGTTTAATTTACCTGGCTTGAGCTTCCTTCCATTTCTTCTATTTTTTTTTTTTTTTTTTTATTTTTTTGACAAATAAGGAGGAAGTTGCTTTTATTTTATGTACATGTACCACAGATTTCTGAGACCAACTTTTACGTGACGATCCCATCATTTTTTGATCAAACTCATATTAGAATTTGATTTATGAAATCAAAATTTTCAATTAATTGATTCAATTAGTTCGTTCTCATATTCTTTATTTTGGATCCACTTCCGATGTCCCTTTTAAAGAATTCCTTTTTGGTATCATTTAATTTTTCAACACATTCTTGAAGAAATTTCATAAATGATAAACCCGTCATTAAGGATGATCCGATGTACTTTGGCGGTGAAGTGGATAAAATACTTTTGACCACCCTAGATACTTCAGTGACGAACTCGGGTTCTAATTCTTCTGTTGACAATTTATCCAAATTTTGTAGTCGATTACGATCCGACAACGGAAACTGCAAAAACACGAAAAATAAATTTAAGGATATATACACGTGAGAATGGTTGTAAAATTCACATGCAAAGTTGATCATCAAATGAACTTTAGAAATGGGTATTGGTGTTGCATGTTTCCATATTTGGCAGGAACTTCGAACCGATTTTTGAAATTTCTAATAGGAATTGAAATTCCGATAGAATAATAAGGTCTCGGCCGAAATGACTAAACAAGGTACTACCACAGAATAAATGGGTCCGGTAACTGAATCGGTTCTTTCATTGTGCGGTTGTATTTGATTGTGTTTGATGTAAACTTTAAACCATATTCGCATTTTTTTTTTTCATTCATTTTTTTTTTTTTTTTTTTTTTTGACATACTTGGGGGATTACCATTCTTTTTTCATGTGAAACATTTAATATTTATTTTATCTTCAAATTTAACTAAGAAAATTGTTTTTAAAAAATGAAGCCCTAACTTTGTAGTTCATTCGAATGATTAATTTTCGATATACAGTACTGTATACTGTATATTTTCTTCCAAAAAAATTATTTTAACAATAAACGATAGAATATTAATTTGAAAAAAAATTTTTTTAGGAAATTTTTATACTCTTGCCCAGAATAAAAAAGTTTTTTACATAATAACAATAATTAATTGTAAAAAATAAAATTCAATATAATGTTCAATTAAGCAACTTTTCTACAACGTTGCTAAACCAGGAAGCCATGATCATTACTGTAATCTTTTATAAATAAATCTTAGAATATCGCCACATAAATGGTTTGGCAAAACTAAATATATGATATAGTTATCCTAATTAGGAATTTATTAAAAGGAATTAACAAACCATGTGGGTCTTACATAAATTATCAGAACAAATAAAGAAATTAAAATTAAAAAATTTATTCTTTCATAGAAGGTTATCGTTTTCTACGCATGCAGGGGTGCATATAAAAGTATTCCTTCATAAAAACATAACAGATAATTGCCTAAAATGATGAAAGCTCCCGCCGGAAATGAGGAAACTTCTTTTCTAGAAGTTATGGATTAATTCTATTTGGTATTTATTTTATGATAAAGTATATATATATAATAGGTAGCGCTTTGGATGCTGCAACGAATTTATAATAATGAATCAATTATTCAACTTTAAACATAAAATTTACTTTTTAATATCAAATGACACATCAAGTCAGCAAATGCAAAACACGGATAAATTAAAGCCTAAACATAAATTTGAGAAATGTTTAGAATGTAAAAAAAGAAGAAAGCCTTCTGAAGAAGATCATAATATTTGTCGTAATTGTTATGAAACAAACACAACCTTTAATCCAATTGGAAACGAAATTATTGACGCTTTTATCAAAAGTACGCATTTTTATTATTCTTCTAAAGGCAAAATGGAATTTGTTTCATTTGAAAAATTCAAAGATGTAGAATTTATTGGTGAGGGAGGATTTAGTAAAGTTTATAAAGCTACTTGGATTGATGGTCCAATTATGAGTAAATCAAAATCAGAGTATAAACGGAAATCTAATAAACAAGTTGCTCTTAAGAAACTCAATAATTCTAAAAACTTTACTTCAAAGGAGTTAAATGAGGTACATAATTTTATTTTTATTTATTTATCTAGATTATGTGCTAAATTATTATCCTTTTTTAGCTTAAAATGTATTATCAATTAAAACTAGAACGTTATATTAATCGATATTATGGAATTACGCAAGATCCTATTACCAAAGATTTTGTGATTATTATGGATTATTGTGATTCAGGAGATCTATTCCATTATATAACTAAAGATTTTTTTAATGTTAGTTGGTCAATTAAGTTGCAACATTTAAACTACATCGCACAAGGTCTTGTTAACATTCATCACCATAAAGTTATTCATCATGATCTTCATAGTGGAAATATTTTAATAGAAAATAAACGAGTTAAAATAGGTGATTTAGGATTGAGCAAATCTGCTACTGAAGCTGATGATGTTGAAACTTATGGAATTATTCCTTATATGGCCCCAGAGATTCTTCAAGGGCAAAAATATACTAAGGCTTCAGATATTTATAGTTTTGGTATGATCATGTGGGAGTTGGTGACAGGTAGAAGACCTTTCTGGGATCGTGCTCATGATACATATCTGATTATTGAAATTTGTGATGTGTTACGTCCTCCAATTGGTAATATCGTAGCACCTGTGAGTATCATTGAGCTAGTGAAAAATTGCTGGGACCCTGATCCAAGTAAAAGGCGATCGATTATTTTTTGCGAGATAAAATTTATAGCATTAAAGGTGCTGAAAGTAAAAATCCAACTGATATTGTAGAATCATCAGAAATTGGACCTATAATAACAAACAATCCAGACGCTATTTATAGGAGTCGATCTTTAAGTAGCATGATGAAATCTGCAGAATCCACAAGAAGTTTACGAAGTCAATCCATTACTTCAGTTTTTGGTAATTAATTTGTTTTATAAATATTGAAAATATATATTTTAAAAATGTTATTTTAATTGAACATAATCCTCATAAATTATTAATAATCTCTACTTTTTTTTTTAAAAAAAAAAAGAAAGTAAACGAAAGTTTGATAGCGAAAGTTATCAGATTGAAAATAATGGTATGTTATGTTCAAATTATGCTAATTCAAAGAAAAGTTTAATAATTAATACGTTATTAATTATAGATAAACGTTATAAAACAACTAATTTATCGAATTATAAAACAAAAGAATTGGAATTTGAAATTTAATATTAGACGATCTTGTTTTTTAATATTTTTAGTGATATCACAGAGTTTATATGAAAATTAGCTATACAATAAAAGATAATTTATTTTAAGCAAATAAATAATACAATAAATTATACTTATTATTCTGACAATAACATACCCCGTAGTCAACGTCGTATCTAACATACCTTTTTCTGATTGCCTTATTGAGGTACAACGCGTTTTATATCAGTCTTTAAATAACTAAAGGTTAAAACCCTTGGTTATAAAAATTGATGGAGTACTACTGCTCCGCATTGCAGTATTTGTTGTGTGTTCTTTCGTTTATGTATTTATAAACAATTTGTATTTGTAAGTAGAAGGAAGAAATTAAGTAATTATGACGATAAATTTATTTAATAATATCAATTAATCTGTGTTGCCTCAACGTCGGCGCTCTATACTTTCGCAATTTCAATTTATTAAATTCAATAACGATTTAAAATTACAGTATATTATAACTATATCCATGGGTATATACTGTATATACACCCTTTAGTATCACATCGTATCACTCCCCTCAAGTTGTTTTTACTATATATTCAGGTGATTGAGTGGTGAATCTTATTTGTCACATATATCTATTTGCCACGGTTAGAGTCAGGGTTTAGTTTAGGGTTAGTTAGGATTAGTTAGGGTTAGTTAGGGTAAGGTGTTAGCATACTGGTATCCCCGGTATGAAATGAAAATATTCTTAAAATTACGCAAAAAATAAAATTAAAAAAATAAAATAAGAAAATTCGGAATTTAAAAAGAAACGAAGTTACAACGTTAAAATTAAAATGAAAGCGATAATATCGCAAAAAAGAAAAGGAAGGGTTTTAAGGTGTATGTATACAATACAAAGAAGCGCGGGGTGTGTATGTTGGTTTGTTTAAGGAATTCCAACATAAATTATAAAAAAAAAAAAAATAATTAAGCGTCCTACCATCCTGGTCAAAAAAATGATCCAAAGGATTGTGTCGAAAACAATTTTCAATCGAAAATCATGCCCTTTCTAAATGACAGTGACTAACATATAAAATATTTATTATCATATTTACCTGTTAAAATATCAGAAATCTTAATGATTGCATCTAATGTACGATTTATTACCTCATTAACGTGTCAAAATAATAAACTTTCTTCGCTTGTCATTTTTATTTTGTTATTGCAGGATTTGACACGTTAAAATCCATTTATTTACCCTCAACCTTTTTTTAACACTATAAAAAAATAATATGCTTTTATTTTATTATTTACGTTTATGGGATAAAATAAATTTTGTAGAAAGATTAAGAAGAGAAAACATATTTTTAATGAACTTTTTAGTTTTTAAACTCCTTAGTATTTGTTTCATTGTAAGGTGAATGAACAGTAATATGCGGGTGTGCGACCTCCAAGCCATGTATGATAATGCTGACAGTCACCTAATTAGGGTAGTGCAGATTCGTATTATCGTGCTTGTAAAAACCGAGAAACACCCGTCTTGAATGACCTCCTCTCCCTTAGCAAATACTAAATTAGTAAAAACCCTATTGTTTCACTTTCAGGTTTAGGACGAACAGTTCCTTCACGATAATTACTCCTTTTAGATCTATTTGCGTCTAACTGGAATTTATAATCATAACCAATTGACTACGAAAAAAATGAAAAAAATTTATATTTAATGTGATAGCTTTCAATTTTTTAATTTCAATTAATAAAATACAAATTAATCTTCAACTTCGGAATTTTTATATAAATGAATGGTAAAGCCGATAAAATCTGGTATACCTTTTTCTGGACTGAGAATTTATTGCAAAGACTAATTGATCTTTACATAAATGTCTTTTATAATTCTTGAAGTTTATCCTTTATTATTTTAAATAGTCATTAAGTAAAATATATAATCATTCATTACTCGGAGTAAATATTGTATCGAGTTGTTTTTTCTTTTCGATGCAATACAATTTGGTCATTGTGAACATTAGTTATCTGTTTGCACACATATATCGATGAAACCGTTCGTGTTAAACCTGGAAGTAATACAATAAGGTTTTTTACCAATTTAGTATTGCTAAGGGAGGATGTCACTCAAGACGGGAGTTTCTCAGTTTTTGCAAGCATGATAATACGAAACTGCACTACCCTATTTAGGAGACAGACTGTCAGCATGGCTTGGAGGCCGCACACCCGCATATTACTGTTCATTCACCTTACAATGAAACAAATACTAAGGAGATTAAAAACTCACCTTACTTGTTTCTGGATTACATCCTATTGACTTCAATTATAGTAAGGAATCTTTCTCAGAAAATGCCTTTTGTGCTGAGGCTAGTTCATCTTTTATCTACATTAATTCAACTTATTTTTTTTTTTTATTTTTTTAAAGAAAATTTTTTGAAACCTAGGAATGTTGGAGCGTTAGTTAGTTAATTGTTATATTTTATTTATTTTTTCTTGATTAAAAAATACACCAACACTTTTACGTCGGTCCAGAACCTTGACTCATTGTAACAGATCAGAAGGTATTCCTAAATGTATAATTTATTATTGTTATTATTATTTTTTTAAAAAATTTACGCTAATATTACTTACCGATCCGGAAGCTTAGAACCTTTGAACATTCAACCGGAGATGAGTCCTAATGGAGTGGAATAGTTAGTTAATTTTTTTATTTATATTATTTTTTTTTTTAAAAAAAAACTAAAACTTATAAAATAACAAATATTATTATTTTCCTCCGATCCAAGATCTACTAAGATAAATTAATAGTATTACTTTTTAAAAAATAAAAAGGTAAATTAGGATTTAAGTTTGAATAGGTCTACAAAGGTAAACTAATTTTTCTTTAAAAAAAAAATTAAAAAAAAAATATTAAAATTCTACATTATAGCTTAACTCCGATCCGATTCCAAACCAAGGTTTCGAGATTCTGTACCGTTCTACAAAGGGTAAGAAGTAAATTTGGAATTTGTTTTTTAAATAAACAGAATATCTAACGAATTCCTCTATTAGAAATTACCTCAATTCAATAATTCCAAGGTAAATTTCCGGTTTGGCGTCCTAAAAAATAATAATTAGGAAATATGCAATCTTCGAAATTATCCATACCGGCAAAATTATGCTGACGATTTACATAATTTGCAACTTATGACATATTTTTCTAACGGCCGGTATATCGCATTAAAAGGAATTATTGGTTAATCGTCACGTGAGCCGACAGAGAAACACACGTGACCGAATATTTTTTACAATGCATTGTTTCGCTTCGCTCAGAACAAATAAGGAGAGAGATTCTCCATTACCTCAAGTCCAATTCGATACTCAGTTGGAAAAAAAAAACAGGTATAAACTGATATTGTGCCTTTCCCTCAATTTGCTATTGGAAACATACATTTGTTAACCTAGATGCCGGTTGGGAAATCATTTGTCAGAAGATGAAAATTGCGCCTTTAAGATATCGTAGAATAGATATATACTTAGTATTAAATGTACAGTAGTTAATAATAAATATATATATACTAAAAATACTCTGGTAAATATGTCCTTTCGATATTTGCAATAAAACTGAACTAATCAAGAAATAAAATTTATTTTAAGGTAATTCACATCAACGATTGAATTTTTTGTTCTTAAAAAAAAAAAAAAAAAAAAAAAAAAACAAAAAGTTACAGCACCCAGTATTCCCACGTTGTCCCCAACCGTAGTACTGACTGGGCCATCAGTGGCTTAACTTCGGAGATCGGACGGGTTCCGGTGCTTTTCACTGTGTATGGCCGTAACTGTTTGAATGCAGAAATAATTTATACATGTTTCGTAAAGTTATGTTAAAAAAAATGGAAAAAAGTTCGTTTCGTGAAAATAAAATAAAAAATTAGGTATAATAAACTCCTTTCGTAGATCACTCGTTTCGAAATTTGCTAACCTTCAAAGTTAAAAATTGATCATTTTACTGTGCTAGGATTTCCGTTTAATTCAAATTGAGCTCTAGAATATCGAATATTGAAAATTCATCATAACGAAATTCATGAAATATTGCGAAAGTTTATATGGATTCTAGGTATTCGAGAATGAATCATTTCTCTCTCTAGTAGATTCAATTCACGAATTTAACAATAAGTTTTAAACCATTATATGAAAATTTTAATTTAAACGTCAAGTAATTTCAACAGCAAAGTTTAATCACCTGAACCGGACAATTATACCGTAACTTAAAACTTGTGCATCCAAAAAAGTTATATTTTCGAACGGAAACCATTTAAACTTATTTTAATATGTTAAAAATACTAGATTTAGCGAAGTTTTTTAAATATCTTAATTCCGACTAAAAAAAATTCCTCAACGGAGCTAATCCTATCGCTCCTAATTAAAGGTAATCGTACAGAGTTATTATTATGTAATAGATTTTTATTTAATATAGCAAAGCAAAGAAATACTTTAAAATATATTTGATAATAAAATCACATGATTCATTTGGTGGAGGAAAAATTTTAATGTGTAGGAATAATAAAAAAAATGGCATAATTATACTGTACATACAATGTTAGCTTGCTTCAGCTCCGGAGGCTTTAAGTATTCTGAATGAGATAATGTCATGACATAAAAAAAATTTATATATTTTTATGTTATTCTCTTAAATTTTCCCGGTGGAATTTTTTTTGTTTTTTTGTAATTTTGAAAATTTTTATTATAAAAAATCTAAGTCCACCACAGATTTCAATGTTACGTGAACCGAAAAATCGATTTTGTGTGACCTAAAAACTTTTTTTTTTTTTTGTATTTTTCTCTCTGGATTATCACATGGTTATTGTCGTCAGAAAAAAAAAAAAAATAATTAAATAAAATTAGTGCCCTTAATTCATATTTGGAAAACTTGAAAATTTAAGAATAATTATCGTTGTCAGAAACGATGAGATTTCTAAAATACAATATAAGTGACTTAAATCACAATTGGCGATCTTTGATGTTAAAATATGGTAATAAGTAACCTTAAAGCTTCATACAAATACCATTTTCGCAAAACTTCATAGGTTTTATACAAAATTTGTGAAATCTTGTTAACCTTTTAATTTTACTTCTTTAATCGTTTAAAATATATAATCATAATACATAAATCTTTTATAATTATATATTTCAAAACCAGCGGTACAACAACTTTATTAAGAACCAAATATGATTGTTTAGAATATTGAGCAAAAGATCGAAGATTTTTTAATTTGAATTGTGACGTATGGTTCTGGTTTTAAGGATCCTTCTCAAAGTTTTATAATTTTATACTTGTTGCAAATGTTTGTATGATTGATTTTTTTTTTATTTTCACACAATAATACTATTATTATCATAGGTTTCTATTATTATTTCCTGTTCTTTTTCAACGCAAAATTTATAAAGTATTACCAAATTCTAAAGTTAATTAATAAAATAAAATTACATGTTTTATAGAAACGATCGTTAATTTAATTTTCAATTTTCTTTATTAATTTATCATTTGACAATATCTTTGGTATTAAGACCAGTAAAATTCTTGATTATTCTCATCTTTAGAAACTTGATTAAGGTCATTTCTGATATGTGAATTTTCATTTTCAGAAGTAGAATCAGCTTCAATTGGTTCTTCAATTGAAAAATCAGTGTTTTTCTTATGTTCAGTAGCGGATTTTCTTTCTTCTGCTTTGTGTCTTCTTTGAGTTTGGGAAGAATTTCTAAGTAACATAAAGGCCTCTTTGATGGATTAATACTTTTCGCACTATGCATTAAAGTTGAAGAGATTTTCCGCATTATTATCCAGCTCTTCTATACATCAAAATACTGAATCCTCATTACTATCAGTATATTCTGTTTCCGAGGAATCATGTTGTTTTGACAATCGTGGCATTATAAGAATTGTAAAAAAATTCAGCCCTTTAAAAAAAAGTCTTTTAAAAAAAGAAATTCGGTTCTTTAAAAAAAAAAAAATTTGGCCTTTCTCTTTAAGATGAATTTGCTATAAAGAAAGAAAAAATAATTCGTTCCTCCCCCCAGAAAAAAAAATTTCGATATTGTTGCGTCTTCAACAAACTTGAAATACGTGGGGCTGTATATACGAAAATCATGTTTCTTTTATTATTTAAACTGAAAATATTTCCTTATTTTATTAAAATTTTGTTTAAGATAAAAAATACATTTTGATGTTGTCCGCAAAATGAAGGTTTTGAATCACATTAAACTTTGTAAGGTAGTGCTTATTATTGATGCCTGCATGTTGTTATACGTATTTTGTTTTATAGAATTATATACGTCATTATCATTGCCAAGTATTTGATCATAATTAACCCCTGATTGACAGTAAAACTAGACTTATTTGAAATTTATCATTAATATGAACTTGTAGATTTCACTTGGTGCCGATATTTTTGATTATTTGCCGGTAAATGATTAATTAACATTGTCTATTAAACTCGGAAGAAAGTATACATTAACCATATTCGCCGTAAAAATATCCTAAATTATCCATCGTTTTCCTCTTTTCAGTCTGTAGGACTCTTCAAAGCACCAAGAATTTGTTCAACATTCGAATTTCTTATTTTTCTATAGAATCTTGCGACTTGGCGTATTAAAAACTTCCATAAAGAAAGGTTAAAAAGTTATCAATTGCCTTGCTTTTTAAAGTCTGCATTCTTCAGAAAGTGTATCTCCAAGTAAAGCAGTAGAACTTTGCTCCGCTTCTTGATTAAATTCTACCGCTGCCTCACTTGCTATCGTTCCTTCAGCTGATGCTTCTATAACATTATCTGCAGCACCAATTTCAGCTCTAACTTTGGAGATTTTGACGATGGATGTTTCCACGGCTTTACCTATCACTGCTGCGTCGACATCTAAAGGTGCCGCTATAACAACAGGAGCAGCTAAAAGAGCAATACTAACGACTGCAAAAATATTTCTTTTGAGTTTGCTTTCTTTATGCGGTGGTGGCGATGGTGGTTGCAATTTTTTTAGATTATTGGTAGTCATTTTAATACTTAGTTCATTAAGGGCATCATGGAACTCGATGGTGACGCTCCCAATAATTAAATAGCTTGTTTGCCGAATCAATCATGTGATATGTAGCAATACGAGCTGCCTGTACCGAACTGAAGAGATGCAGCGTATGAACCAACTTCATGAACAGTTAAATGATCGATGCATTCGGCTATATGTTCTGTTCGATAATTGCCAAATCGTGTTGTTTACCTTCACTGCAATACTTTGAAGTAAGATGAGGTGGAAATACATGATTCGAGTCAGGACTGTTTCCCTTATATGTAATTTTAGGGGTCGGAATGTAGTTATTAATGTTTTTTTCGGTATACGTTGAAACGGTAAGATCTTTCCTGTTTATTTCCACCATAAAGCTGAAATTACAATCATATGTACATCCCCACTTGTTAAAGGTGGCTCATACCTTATTATTTTAACTTGCCTGACCAAAAGAGACGTCGAATAAGTAATGCCATCATCGTTTATATGAAACGCCGCACGATTAGAAGGTACGACCTGGTCGCACATCTTAAAATCATGTTCTACGGTGATCCAATCGGCAATAACTGCAGATAAAAAATGTATAATAAATCTTTTCTTCATGCATATTACCTTCGAAAAATATGCAGATAAACCATTTCGATAACCTAATTCTTTTTTTTTTTTCATTCAACATTTAAAGAGATCAATCACCCTTTTTATTTTACGATCTTCATTATAATGAGACCCTAACTGATTGCAGTCGATCTTTACTTCATATATCTCGTTTAATCCATTATAGAGATTTGAACCGGTTAAAGAATTTTCGGCCGGTTCCATTGTCAAAAAATGCAAAGTAAAAAATTCATTTCATCGGTGATTCATGCTTGGACCACCATCGAGTTTTATCCTATGAAATGGGAGTCTTACGAACATAGTAAATCATATTATCCGTAAAGTAATTTAATAGAATATTCCTACACAGATGATTAACGATAGTTGTTATTAAAATTTTAACCAGTTAGTTAACTGGCTAAACTGGGAACAATAGATTCGAAATTCATATATTTGGGAAAGTCCTCAGTTTGATACATTATGCCGCCTTTAGAATTTCATATTGAGAAAATAAAATTAGGGCCAATTATCTTCATATTACTAAACAAGTGTACAAGTAGTGTACTAAGGCTACGCTTCGTATTACAAATTTTATAAGGGAAAATTAAGAATGAAAATTTCGGAAATTTCATTCTATAAACCTCACACTAAGTTCATAATCCTAAATTATTTTGCCAGATGCCGATGCCAAAATGGGCCGGCCTAATAATTATTTTTTTTTTTTAGTAATCCTTAAAAATACCACGCGCCTTTATATATTTGCATATATACAACTTGAAAACCTTCCTTTAACATATTTTCGCTTCCGCCGTTTTAACTTTTTAATTTTATTATTGTAACTTCATTTATTTTTTGTAATTTTTTATTTTATTATACAATTTCGTAATTGCACACAGTTTTATTCGTTAGCTCAATTTGAAAAAATCCTAGCACAGTAACGATCATTCAGAAAAGAAAATTTTAAACGTGTATGAAATTCACAATCGAGTTTATTTTTTACACCTATTTTTCTTATTACGAAACGAACTTTCTTTTATTCTTTTTTAAAATAACATAATTATAAGTATTAATTTTTTCTGCATTCAAACAGTTACGGCCATACACAGTGAAAAGCACCGGAACCCGTCCGATCTCCGAAGTTAAGCCACTGATGGCCCAGTCAGTACTACGGTTGGGGACAACGTGGGAATACTGGGTGCTGTAACTTTTTGTTTTTATTTTTTTTTTTTTTAAGAACAAAAATTCAATTGTTGATGTGAATTACCTTAAAATAAATTTTATTTCTTGATTAGTTCAGTTTTATTGCAAATATTGAAAGACCATATTTACCTAGTTTCTTTTCATTCGTAAATATATTATACATAGGCTTTAAATAATTTAAAGATTTGGTTTTTCGTGATATTTACAAGATATAACGTTGATAAATCGCAGAAGTTTGATATAAAATAAATGATTTATTTTTTTACTTCAATATCAGCGTAGATCCCTTGTTTCTGGGATTAATTACAGGGTGTTTTGGTCGGGAATTATTATCGGGGATTAGGAAATTAACCGGAAATTTATTAAAATTCATTTGGGACGTTTGCTATCAATATAAGTTACGAGACATAGTAAATCATATGATCCATAACGTGATTTTAATAGTAAATTATCCATTTATTTCAAATTAAAAAATATTATTAAATTCAATTCTTGAAATATCGCGGCTAAAAATTATAAATTCGAAAAAAATAAATACTAAAACAAAATTAATATAAAATTAAAATTAAAATCAATCCTAAAACCAAAAAAATTAAAAATCGAAAATTCGAACGGTGGGGATTATAAATAATTAATAAAAATTAAAATTTAAACCTTGATTATAAATAAATAATTAAAAAAAAATTTAAAATTTTAAAATAAAGTAATTAATAACCACAACCGGATCATAATCCGAACTTAACCCAACCATATCCCGAAATTAAATCCATCCCAATCATAACCCAACTTTAAACTGAAACTGACCTATTTATAACCAGATCCAAATCCTAATCCTAAAGCCTAATCTTATGAATTCAATCAAATTAAAATTTATATAAAAAATTAAAAGTAAATAATTAATAAAGAATATAAAGTAATTAATAAAGTTATAATAAACAACTAATATAAAAAGTAAATTTAAAAAAATCAATTGAAAATTGCAAATACAAAAAAATGTTAAAATTTAATAAATTTCAATTAAAAGTTATAAACAAAACAAATAATTAATATTTATAATTAAATTGAATTAAAAAAATCAATCAAATGTTATAAAATTCAAATAATGATATTAGTTTCATGGTATTAGAGAATATGGTTATATTAATTAAAAAGAATTAGTGTTAGAATTTGAATTTAAGTTAGAGTTAGAGTCAGGTTAGGTTTTTATAAAAAAAATTAATGACGAGTTAGCGTTAGGATCAGAGGGTTAGGTTACGGTTAGGTTATTTATTAAAAAACATCAATTACGAGTTAACGATAGGATTAGATATTAAATAAAACAACAATTACGAGATTAATATTAGAATTAGGATTAAATTATTATTATTACAATTATAAATTTATTATATTTATACTAAACCTTTAAATATTATTATTAACAAAATCGAATCCCCTTCGCGTTACCTCGGAAACCACTTCACATATTACTATCGTCAGTTTGAAATCGCATTTCATAATAAACCAAAAATACTTTTTAAATTTTGGGCACTTAATTATTACTTTTACGAATATTAAAAAGTTATGATACATTGAGCGAATATTTATTTTTTTGGAATTCACGCCTTACATTGATTACTTTTCTTTAGGTTACTAAATATTTTGAGCTTATAAGCCTTCTTCTAATCGAGTAAACTATATAGTTGGTCATTAAATGTAAACAAATGTATTAAGTGTAGTGTTTTAAGGAATTGAACTCAATAAACTACAAGCAAAAATTTCCGGATGATCAGTACATATATTTATTGATTGACTTTCCTAAAAAAAAATTAATGTGCATCATTAGAGATATAGTTACAGCGATATTTTTTATTAATTAATTGGAATTACCAATGTTAGAAATATAGCAATACTTCAGTTAATTGCAAAATATGACTTCTGGTCATTATCAAATCTATTCTAATCAAAATTGTAAAACTAGTTTTAAATTTTAAATTTTAATCAAGATTTCCTTTGTGAATTATATCTGACGATAGACTAAACAAATAAAAATAGTCATTCAATTTGTGAATGTCCAAAATTACATGTGAAAAAGATGTGGATGAAAAA